TACGCTCGTCAAGTTCCCACTCAACTAACTACTAATCCATTCATTCAATACACTAGCTAACCAGTCTTAGCTATGTATTTCTCATACTACGTTAAGGCCTTGCCGAAGCGATGTAGATCTTAGAACGTATGTTTAATACTCGAGCGACCAAGTGCGTGTTTGTGGGATACTCAAGTCAACGCAAGAGGTATCGACTCATCGACCTGGACTCCGGCGGTCTGTTTGAATGCCGTTGAGTCAAGTTCGTTGAAGATGCATCGCCGAGTTCTACGAAGCCAGTGCGATTTGACTCTGAAGACGTTCGGATTGACGACTCGCATGCTGCGCGTGACAACTACGACATGCCAGTCGAAGACGAAGTGCCATTCGACTCAGTGGAAGTTCCTCGTCAAGAAGCTTCAGTGGGAGCATCAAGTGCGAAGGCGAATGTCGACCCAACACTGGCACCAAGTTCCGAAGATCAACACGAAGTGGACGAAAACGCCGAATCTGTATGCTCCAACGCCCAAGACTCGAACGATTCGGACCTGGAATTCGACAACAACCCAAGTGGCCTCGAAGAAATCTCCGCTGGTCACCACCAAGCGAATTCGGTCGATGTGGCAAATGACACGCCCCAGTCGTTCAAGGACATCGAAGAAAGTACCAACAAGACCAAGTGGCTCGAAGCAACTCAAGCTGCGTTCGACTCGCTAGTCAAAAATGGGACTTGGACTCTGACCGGCCTGCCCCCTGGGCGGAGGGCTCTCGCATGCAAGTGGTTATGGCGAACCAAGTTCGATGCCATGGGGAAGTTCACCAAATACAAGGCTCGCCTGGTCATCAAGGGATTCCTACAGCCTGAAGGCCTTGACTACACGGAGATCTTAGCGCCCGTGCTTCGACTCAACACGCTGCGCTTGATCCTGTGTTTGGTTGCAAAGCATAGTTGGAACGTGCGCCAAATGGATGTCGTGACTGCGTTTCTCAACGGCGCCATGGACGCAGACACGGAAATCTACATGAAGCAGCCGCCCAACTTCGTCGTGCCTGGCCTCGAGAACAAGGTGTGCAAGCTCGTCAAGGCGATCTACGGTCTGAAGCAAGCCCCAAGATGCTGGTACTTGACACTGCACAAGTTCCTGGTCGAAGTCGGCTTTGTACGATGCGTCAAGGAAGCCTGCCTCTACATCAAAAGAGTGGGAGAATCAGTGGTGCTTTTGACTGTGTACGTCGACGACATCACGGTGACCTGCAACCATGACGCCGATATCGAGATGGCCTGCGACTTACTCAAGAACAAGTTCAAGATGACCGACCTTGGTCTACTCAAGTCGATCCTCGGCATTCAAGTGGACATCAAGAACAAAGTCGTCACTATGTCCCAGCAAGCTTACGTGGACGCCCTTTTGGTCAAGTTCAAGATGGTCGACAGCAACCCCGTACCCGAAGTCATCGGTCAAGTGCTCAGACCAAGCAAACTCAAGCCGGAAGAGATGCAAAAGCTCAACCTCCCCTACCGCGAACTCGTTGGCAGTCTGCAGTATCTCGCGACTTGCACAAGACCCGACATCGCGAATGCCGTGCGCAACTTAAGCAAGTATTTGTCATGCTACGACGAGAGCCACTGGAAGCAAGGCTGCAAGTCTCAAGATCGACTGCACCGATCAAGCGGGAGCGTTTCAAGTGGAAGCATTCTGCGACGCCGACTTTGCCAACGGAGAAGACCGCAAGTCCATCAGCGGCTTTGCGGTGATGTTTGCCGGCTGCTGCATCTCGGCAAGATCAAGGAAGCAATCCATCGTGGCGATGTCGACGGCCGTAGCCGAGTACATTGCACTATCCGACGTGGTCAAGGAGTTGATTTGGTACTCCGAGCTACTCGAAGAACTGGGATTCCCCCAAGGAAGAATTGTCGTACACTGCGACAACCAAAGCGCAATTGCGATCGCGAAGAACCCAGGCCAACATGAGCGAACCAAGCACATCAGCACCAAGTACCATTTTGTGCGGGACCACGTGGAGAAGGAACTCATCCGACTACAGTACTGTCCAACCAAGATGATGATCGCTGACATCCTCACCAAGGCAATTACGCGGGAGCAATTCGAGACCCTGCGACCCAAGTTGGGGATTGAAGATAAAACCACGCACAGTGTGAGAGTACGAGAAGTACACGGCAGCTAAGATAGGAAAGCCATGACAATCCTGTGGTCTGACTGGGTGACTGCAGATGGACCACGAATTGAGTGGTAGTATGAGAAATACATAGCTAAGACTGGTTAGCTAGTGTATTGAATGAATGGATTAGTAGTTAGTTGAGTGGGAACTTGACGAGCGTATTGCAATCGTCAATCCCTATCAACTTAGGCGTTGTACAATGTATATGGAAATATAGCTCAGTGGTAGAGTTCCTGCTTACTGTTAGTATGCGGAAGGTACAGGGATCGATCCCGGCTAGGTGACATATTCCGGATAATCTTGAGGTTACCGGACAATCATCACCAGGCTGGCAGTTGGGCTCGGCACCTTTCTGCTAGCAGTTACAATGCCTACAAAAATAGTAGATGACCCTTGCGAGTAGGCACAGCCCACCAGTTTAGTTTTTAACTCACAATTGAATTTACCTTCAACCCACCAAATGTTCTCTCTCCAACTCTCTAACGTAGCTTGCTTGCACTTCATCTTCAGAAATCATGTCCCACGCCTTATTTACACGTTCAATCATGGGAATGCACTTTTCTTTTGCAGTTGTTGCAGTGTTCTGAGTGACAACCCACAAATCACGCAGATGCTGTTTGAACGGCCCCATAATAGAAACGTCCAACAGCTGACAATGAGAAATGCTGTTTGGTGAAAGTGGACACAGTTCACTTCCAAGCTCGTCGCGGAGAATACACTCGCTTTTTTCGCTGACATGGCTGTCGAAGTTATCCATCAGGAGAATTGATGGGTCCTCAATTCTTCAATGGAGCACCTCATGAAGGTAGTATTTCCAAACCGATCCATTCATCCACGCTTTCTTTTGCATGGCGTAGAAGTGGCCCGGGCGATAATCGTCGAATTGATTGGTCTCAATACCGCCACCAGCCTCGCCACGGATGACAAAAAGAATCGGCACCATCTCCATGAATCGTGAGCAGCGCAGTCATACGGTAGGAGTGATTTTCCGAGTTGGCGACATAACTACCGCCACCTCAAACAGCCCAAATCGTACTTGGACACATGTCGTAGTACATCACTGTTTCGCTAGCGTTGTAAACAGTATCCATTGCCATCCCAGGGTACTTGTCGTGGAAGTACCGTCCGAATTCAAGGCGCGTTCCTTCAAGGTCTACCTGTGTCGTCTTCTGCCTGCAAATTCGCTGCTTGCAAAAGCCATGGCGGTCGGCGAAGTGCTGGAGTAGCCATATCAACGACTTGTACTCAGTCTTGCGTGTCGACATGTAGTCGGTATGGTTCGAGCGCAGGAACTGCAGCATGTGTGAAGAGGTCACAGCCATCTCTTGACGACGGATATCTTTCATGTGAATAACGAGGTCGTGGGCGTCTGGTATGATGGGCACTGCTCCACAGATTCCTGTGTTTCGCTGACGGGCTTTGGAGCCACTGAAGTTGCGTAGTTTGTCCTGCTCCATGACCCAACGTCGCACGGTCCGTTCGCCGTATCCCAAGGACTGCGCTGCATGGTGTACACTTGACGCAGTGGCAATATGTACAGCGTACAGCTTCTGTGCGACTGACGGCATCGTTCTGTGCGTGATGGCCTTCGGGTATGAAAGCACACGGTAGCCATTTGAGGAGGCAATCGTCTTGTGGAGGTAGATAGCTGTCAAATTTATTTGAAATAGCCGCGAAAGAATTTTAACCAATATGTTGCATACAATTGAATATGAGAATGAGATTGGTTAGTTATAATGTAAACGGCCAATTATTGCCCTCTTTCAGTTTTCAATGTCAAGTATTTTAATTATACCCAATCAAATACCTACGCGGCACTGAATCAGCCGTGATTGGCTGAAGTACTATTCGGCGCGAAACTCGTTTCAAACGGTGGTGGAGTACATTGAAGCCCAAGATAAGGTGGCTACAAAGTGTTT